GCTTTGCTTGCCGCCTTTTCTCCCTGCGCGCCAGGACAGCGCCCGGCTGCCAAGTCATGGAGCAAGGAGCTGCCTCGGAGGCTTCGGAAGAACGTGAAAGTCGTGAGGGGTGGTTGACCACCCGCCCTCGGGCGGCTCTACTCTCTGGACCTCCGGCTCCTGAGAACATGGGCCGTGCCCCCTGTGCACCGGGCGTTTAGGATCAGATGTTAGGTTTAGGTAGTAGGTCATCCCCACCAGGCATGAATAGGGTGGGCATCTAGGGCAGCCAGGCCAGATTGCACGCTGTGATCGTGGCCATGGACTGGCCTTTGGCCCTGAATTTATGAGCATCGCTGTTTCCTCTGCACAATTTTCGACACACACACACACACACACACACACCCCTCCTGGCGTGCTGTTGTCCTCTGGGCATGTGCAGTGTTCCTCAGAAAGAAAACAATTTTTAAAAAGTAATAGCTGTGCTTCTGGGCAGATCCAAAGTGCTTCTGTGATCTGAACCCGCACACCCTGCCCTTTTGGCCCACATGTGCTAACTGAAATGTGTATTGCTTGGGAGAAATCCACATATTGTCAGGGGACACTGTGTGAGTGTGTGTGTGTGTGTGTGGCTTTGACCTCATGTGAAGGTTAGGTTTTACAGAGGGTGAGGCTTGTGGGTGTTTTGATTTGGTTTCGGGATGTCCCGTGAATGGAATTCTGCACTTATGGTTGCCAAAATCTGAATGGTTCCACTGGGGAAACTTTGGAGGCAGTTGGCAACTGAGTTCACACAGTCACTTATTAAATGGGGGTAAAGATGCTTTGATAGCTTACATGCTGATGATGTTAATTTTTAATTACCAGTAAACATATCTGTTTCTGGTATAAACTAAAGAAAGGACTAATAAAACAGTAGAGAGGAATACGTTATAAAGTTATTTTGGTTATTACAATGATCAGGAAAGAAACTATCAAAATATGGAGCAGGGGTGAGGGACCCTTGGCTCTCCAGATACAGTATTTTAGACTTCCGCCCTCATAAGCCTCAGAAAGCATGGTCAGTTCTAAGGATTAAGGGAGTTGTAGTCCCAGGCATCTGGACCACTCAGAGTTCCCCAGCTCTGATATGGACGCCATCTTGTAAACTGAAGAGACTATGAGGGATAGCAGTGAAACTGAAAACAAATGTGATCCTTGCAGTGCCAGAATTGCACATGTCACCCCTTTTTGAGATGACTGCCGCATAACCAGTGGCACCACCAGTGAGGTGCCCAAATTCTGTGTCACATGTTATAGCTGAAGCAACAGTTGCCTGTGATTTTGTAGTTTTCCTCAGGCATGGGATTTTGGACTACAAACCCTGTACCATTCCATCCTGGGAGTTCCACCTCATAGACCCATACCCGCAGACACCTAAATGTGGTTCACCTGGAGAAAACCATTAGCTTCCTATCCAGAAAGAAAGCTGCCCCACTGCTATCTGGAAGCCATCAACATGACTTTTTAGAGCAGTGGTTCTCACACTTTGGTCCCCAGATGTTCTTGGACTGCAACTCCCAGACATCCTAGCCCGCACAGCAAGTGATGAAGGCTTCTGGGAATTGCAGTCCAAGAACATTCAGAACCGCTGTTTTAGAGCATGGGTATGCAGCTGTGCTCTTCTAGATGTTTCAGGGCTGTACCTAACCCTTCCCTAATGCCTCTCCTGGCTGGAAATGATGGGAAGTAGTCCAGCAAAATCTGAAGAGCCACCATTGACTCCACCAGATTTAGAGAAATGGTTTCTAGATCTTCCATTTGACAGTGTTATTGTCTTTAAACTTTCCTTTTAAAACAAATTACATGTATATTGACACACCATGTGGTGAGATGGATCATGGAGATGTTTTCCTCAATTAATAACACTCAACAGTTAAACTTTTTGTTGCTAGTTTAAATTGATGTCTGGCTCTCTGAACTATTGAACCTCTGCTTATAAATGCAACAGTTGTTCATAATTTGGCAGTAAATGACCTTTAAATGTAGACATTTTGTGAACATATCCTTGGGGAACAATTTAACTTCAAAGTGACACCCATGAGCACTTGTTATCATTTCAATATGCTTCCTTTGTCAATAACAGAATGGCAAGAACTAGTGAGATTTCTAATGTTGATTCAGATACTTAGAATCCAGCTGAATAAATTAGTGTGCTCTTGATTTGTATTGACCAAAAAGTTGCATTGGTATGTTACAGGTCAAGGTGACACACATTTAAATAGACTGAGGTACAAAGGGCATACATGACTGACATGCTTACAATGTTCTTAATTAACTTCTTAAAATGTGCTCCTTAATTGTTTTTTTAATAGTAGAATTACCACCGTACGGTATGACCTTAAATCATTTTAGTCAATTGTGAAGGAGACCAAAGTCTCAAGAGGTGTGAAAGTGTATATATCACTTTACAGTATTTAAATCTAAAAATGCCCAACATGTTTCAGCCTGGATTTATGGCCTTCTTCAGGGGCTGTACAAAGAAAACAAAGTAAAACAAAAATTGGACAGTACATTACCATTGCAGTGTCAACATGTAGAAATGTTAAAATGATAACGTGTTGTCCTCTTTTGGGGGCATTTTTAGAATAAAGTGATATGTTTGCATACATCCTGAGACTTTGGCCTCTCCCTCACCATCAGATTTGATTTATGCTTCCTTTTGTTTTTTATTAAATAATTTTAAGCTGCTTTACATATGAGATAATTAAAAATGGGCAGCATAGACCAGATGGGCAGGATACAAACAAATAAACAAAATAAATAAATAAATGAATGAATGAATGAATGAATGAATGAATGAATGAATGAATGAATGAATGAATGAATAAAGTTATGCCAAGGTAAATTAGATTAGAAATGGAAATAATTGATTCAAATAAATTGAATTGAAAACTTCTTATCTCCTCTTCAGAGGTTCCAAAGTTCCCTAAGGGCTCCCTTTTGCCTTGGGGAAGACTTTTGGAGCCTCAGGACAATGGGAGCCTGGGTCTCTGGTGCTGATTTTTTTACTATTAAAGGCTCCCCCCTGACATCTTGAGGCTCCCGAAGGCTTCCCCAGAGCAAAAGAGAAACTTAGGGAGACTTGTAATCTTAACGGGGGTATAGGAAGCTTTCCATTCTTCATTAAATTTAATTTTTCTTGTGCTGGATCTGGTTAACAACAGCATAACTTTTCACAACAGGATTTTGTCCAATGTTTTCTTTCTGTTAGTAAATATGGTTCCAGAGAATGTAAAGGGACACCCCAGTCTCACGGGAAAGGGGAAATTTCCTGTATGTCATAATGCCAATTAAATTCCATCACACAGTAGTAGTATGTTCAGTAAAGCTATTGAGTCTTCTTCAATTTGATGTGATTTTTAAAAAAAATACAGATACAAAGATCTTGAACCATAACTTCTCTATGCTTAACTTTCTGCTACAATAAATTATGATAATGATGATGGGTATTTGGATAGATAACAATATAGAAACATGAATAGATACGTGTTGCTCCAGTTCTAAGGCCTCAATACTCAGTTTTCCATCTGTTTTGTCCTTTTATCAGTGTGTAATAACTATTCCATAAAAATTCCTGTTGTGATACTAGTAGAAAAAAATAAGTAGGAATCTATAATATATAGAATATAAAACACATCGTAGTTCTTTGCAAATTCACATATATTAAGATATTTGCATACTTTTCATATACTTACAAGTACAGTAACTCACTTAAGTGAAAATTTGTTCATGAAATCTTGGATGATTAAAGTCCATGGATTCGATTCAGACTTGGTCATAGACAGAGTAGATTCATTTGAAATAAATGATTAAGTTAAATCTCATTGATTTTAATAGGCCTGTTCCAAATATGAATCAAGTCAAGGCTCAAACCAATTTTGATTCTTCTTTTTTTATCTATTTACTTACTGGATTTATATTAAATCTCTCCTGCACCCCAATTAGAATCAAAACAGCTTTCGGTTTTACTGAAAAAAGTACAATTCAAATGTAAAGCAAGATCAGCAGTTTTTAAAAATTAAATTCAAGGCACAATTTGAAACAATCAACAGAGAAATAACAAAAAACATCAAACTATTAATAGTATTAATCACGTGCATTGTTCAGACGTGCACATAAGACAAGATATGGACAGATACTAGTAACACCCCCCTTCTGAGCAAATGGTCAGATGCCTGACTAAGAAAACATGTACAGTACAGTGGTGCCTCGCTAGACAGTTACCCCGCATGACAGTTTATTCGCTAGACATTGACTTTTTGTGATCGCTATAGTGATTTGCAAAACAGTGATTCCTGTGGGGGAATTTTGCTGGACAATGTTTGGTCCCTGCTTCGCAAATTGATTTTTGCTAGACAACAATTTTGACAGCTACCTCCATGCTCGCAAAATGGGTGTTTTCGGGACCTAAGCTTCGCAAGACAGCTGATCGGAGGTTCGCAAAGCGGCTTTCCTATGCCGATCTTCGCTACACAACAACGATTCTTCCTCATTGGAACGCATTAAACAGGTTTCAGTGCATTCCAATAGGGAAATACTTTTCGCTAGACAGTGATTTCACTAAACAGCGATTTCAGTGGAACGGATTATCATAGTCTAGTGAGGCACCACTGTACTTGCCACCTAAGACAATAGAATGGAGGCCACCCTGGCCTCCTTGAGATAGGTAAACCAAGAAAAGCCTGTTTCACATCCATACCTGATGGGTCCGTGAGAAGGCAGAACCAAGAGAATGGTCTCCCCTTTCAATACCCAACCAAGTTGTACAGTGGTGCCTCGCTTAGCGATGTTAATTCGTTCCAAAAAAATTGCTGCTAAGCGACTTCATCGCTAAGCGAAACACGGTTTCCCATTGAAATGCATTGAAAACCGGATAATCCGTTCC